ATGACAGTCTGGCATGACACAAGCCCAGTGGTCTAAATCCAAGCCATTAGTGCTCGTATTGTGCATGCCAACTCACATCCTGTCATGCAAAAGTGGGAAAGAGGAAACATAACAAAGTTTCCCCTACCTCATTCAATACTTTCCCTTTTGCAATAACACCCTCCAGGCTTACCTCAAGGGCCTGCTACAATATCCACCCAGATTTCAACTTTTTTTTCTATTCTTTTCTTTATCCAGCTGAGTCTCAAATTATCCCTCTTACTAAAATTTCATACTCAACTTCCCTCCCGCTGAGCAGGCAGCATTTTCTCCTACTTGCTGCTACGTACAGAGAGCTGGATAGGACTAAGTGGCCTACTTTAGATGGATGTACAGAGAAACCTGTTCTTGGGAAGTGCTACTGTGAAGCCTTTCTCTATTACCTTCTGTCAAGCTGCTGTAGTTCTCTCAATATATAAGTAATAAATAGGAAGTTTATATTCACTGATTGATCCACATTATCATGCTAAATAAGTAGAAATATTATATAGTAATTTGATAAAATACCTGTAAACTACACTATAATCCATTATTACTAATTAGGGTACTTTAACTCTCCAAGTCAGAGCACCGTGAACTTTTGTCCCATATTCTACGCTAAATACCCTTGCTATTCCAACCCTTAGTTTTGAGAAAAGTTACAATGGCTTCCCTTCCCTTCCTAATAAGGGGATCCCTGTTTCCCCCTCTTCTAACCACCCCAATTCACCCTTTTTACTTAGCAACTCTTCCTTTTCCCCTACACCCTTGTAAACTCACCCTAGCTCCAGGTGACTTTCCCTTCCCCTTCCCTAGCGAATTAACCCTTGCTTCAGGTGACTTTCCCTTCCCTTTCCCTAGCGAACTAATCCTTGCTCCAGGTGACTTTCCCTTCCCCTTGCACCCTTGTAAAGTCACCCTTGCCCCAGGCGACTTTCCCTTCCCCTTCCCTAGCGAACTAACCCTTGCTCCAGGTGACTTTCCCTTCCCCTTGCACCCTTGTAAACTCACCCTTGCCCCAGGCGACTTTCCCTTCCCCCTCCCTAACACCCTAAGTGAACTCACCCTTGCTCCAGGTGATCTGGTTGTCGCAGGAGCCATCGTGGACGACTTCGGAAACACCCCGGCAGGTAGAGATGGTGTGGATGGGGGTCTCGAAGTTGGGGCAGGTCTCGACGTCTGCAGGAGAGAAAAAAATAAATAAAGGTTAGGTGAGCTTCGGTGGCATGTTTCTGGAATTGTATGTTATTATTTATTTACTTTTATTTTTTTGTGTGTGTGTCATTTTCTTGACAGTTCTGTGAGGGTAGATATTTTTTTTATCGCGTAGCAACTTTTTCAGATAACACGAAGCAGAAAGGAAAACGGTAAAAAAAGATCACCTATTTTCATTTCACTCATACAAAAAAACATAATCATAATAGCGAAAACAGCAATAGCAGCAATGTTAATAACGATAATGATAACCAGGAGAAGACGAGAAGAGAAAAGAACTCCATTCCTCGTTGCCATTCATGAAACATCCACTCCCTCTCTCCCCTTCCCTCCCACTCTCCTCCCTCCCTCCCTTCCCTCCCCCCTCTCCCCCTCCCTCCCCCATGCAACGCCAGGGTCGCCATAAGCCAAGGAACCTGGTCTAACGGCGTCCTCATCCCGGGGCGAAAGGAGTCTTCAACACGACTTTAGGTGAAGATAGGAGGGAAGACAAGGAAGGAGAGAGGAGGGGAGAGGCCATCCCTTCCTCCCTCCCTCCCTTCGCTCTCCCCTCTCCCCCTCCCTCCCCCATGCAACGCCAGGGTCGCCATAAGCCAAGGAACCTGGTCTAACGGCGTCCTCATCCCGGGGCGAAAGGAGTCTTCAACACGACTTTAGGTGAAGATAGGAGGGAAGACAAGGAAGGAGAGAGGAGGGGAGAGGCCATCCCTTCCTCCCTCCCTCCCTTCCCTCCCCCCTCTCCCCCTCCCTCCCCCATGCAACGCCAGGGTCGCCATAAGCCAAGGAACCTGGTCTAACGGCGTCCTCATCCCGGGGCGAAAGGAGTCTTCAACACGACTTTAGGTGAAGATAGGAGGGAAGACAAGGAAGGAGAGAGGAGGGGAGAGGCCATCCCTTCCTCCCTCCCTCCCTTCCCTCCCCCCTCTCCCCCTCCCTCCCCCATGCAACGCCAGGGTCGCCATAAGCCAAGGAACCTGGTCTAACGGCGTCCTCATCCCGGGGCGAAAGGAGTCTTCAACACGACTTTAGGTGAAGATAGGAGGGAAGACAAGGAAGGAGAGAGGAGGGGAGAGGCCATCCCTTCCTCCCTCCCTCCCTTCCCTCCCCCCTCTCCCCCTCCCTCCCCCATGCAACGCCAGGGTCGCCATAAGCCAAGGAACCTGGTCTAACGGCGTCCTCATCCCGGGGCGAAAGGAGTCTTCAACACGACTTTAGGTGAAGATAGGAGGGAAGACAAGGAAGGAGAGAGGAGGGGAGAGGCCATCCCTTCCTCCCTCCCTCCCTTCCCTCCCCCCTCTCCCCCTCCCTCCCCCATGCAACGCCAGGGTCGCCATAAGCCAAGGAACCTGGTCTAACGGCGTCCTCATCCCGGGGCGAAAGGAGTCTTCAACACGACTTTAGGTGAAGATAGGAGGGAAGACAAGGAAGGAGAGAGGAGGGGAGAGGCCATCCCTTCCTCCCTCCCTCCCTTCCCTCCCCCCTCTCCCCCTCCCTCCCCCATGCAACGCCAGGGTCGCCATAAGCCAAGGAACCTGGTCTAACGGCGTCCTCATCCCGGGGCGAAAGGAGTCTTCAACACGACTTTAGGTGAAGATAGGAGGGAAGACAAGGAAGGAGAGAGGAGGGGAGAGGCCATCCCTTCCTCCCTCCCTCCCTTCCCTCCCCCCTCTCCCCCTCCCTCCCCCATGCAACGCCAGGGTCGCCATAAGCCAAGGAACCTGGTCTAACGGCGTCCTCATCCCGGGGCGAAAGGAGTCTTCAACACGACTTTAGGTGAAGATAGGAGGGAAGACAAGGAAGGAGAGAGGAGGGGAGAGGCCATCCCTTCCTCCCTCCCTCCCTTCCCTCCCCCCTCTCCCCCTCCCTCCCCCATGCAACGCCAGGGTCGCCATAAGCCAAGGAACCTGGTCTAACGGCGTCCTCATCCCGGGGCGAAAGGAGTCTTCAACACGACTTTAGGTGAAGATAGGAGGGAAGACAAGGAAGGAGAGAGGAGGGGAGAGGCCATCCCTTCCTCCCTCCCTCCCTTCCCTCCCCCCTCTCCCCCTCCCTCCCCCATGCAACGCCAGGGTCGCCATAAGCCAAGGAACCTGGTCTAACGGCGTCCTCATCCCGGGGCGAAAGGAGTCTTCAACACGACTTTAGGTGAAGATAGGAGGGAAGACAAGGAAGGAGAGAGGAGGGGAGAGGCCATCCCTTCCTCCCTCCCTCCCTTCCCTCCCCCCTCTCCCCCTCCCTCCCCCATGCAACGCCAGGGTCGCCATAAGCCAAGGAACCTGGTCTAACGGCGTCCTCATCCCGGGCGAAAGGAGTCTTCAACACGACTTTAGGTGAAGATAGGAGGGAAGACAAGGAAGGAGAGAGGAGGGGAGAGGCCATCCCTTCCTCCCTCCCTCCCTTCCCTCCCCCCTCTCCCCCTCCCTCCCCCATGCAACGCCAGGGTCGCCATAAGCCAAGGAACCTG